CATGGTTTCATCTGGATCCAGTTTTAGTCCTCGAACTTTGTTTACAAAGTCAATAGAGTTTTGGACGTGGTGAGGCGTGTTTCCCACTAAAGGAGCTAAGATGGTAGAAATGTGTTTGGGAATGTTGTAGGTGACCGAGTTAATGCTGCTGATAATCGGCCTGCACAGACCTGTATATTGGGGAGACTAAACAACCACTACACAAACGCATGGCTCAACACAGAAGGGCCAGCTCCTCAGGTCAAGACTCTGCAGTCTACTTACATCTGAAGGACAGAGGACACTCGTTTGAGGACCACCAGGTGCACATTTTAGACAGAGAAGATGGATGGTTTGAAAGAGGTGTCAAGGAAGCATCTACACCAGGGTTGAGAAGCCGTCATTGAACAGGGGAGGGGGTCTACGCCACCACTTATCCCCCACTTACAATGCGGTCCTTTCATCACTTCCCAGGAAACTCAACAAACGTAACCTATTGGCCTCAGGTGAAGATACCAACGATGGTCGTTCAGTCTTGGCCACCAGTAGTCCTAACGACTGTCGTTACAGCAACCAGGAACACTAACGAACCAGCGGTATCGATGACCCAGGATAACGACCCCACTGAGGTCAAATAGCTGAGTTTCCCTGCCAGTCAGTCAGAACTGAAGAAGTCCTTTGGATGAGGAACAAAACGTCTTCCAGTATTTTCAACCAAGTCCAGTTGCCCTTGATTTTAACCTTCGTTGGATAACTATGACCTGGATGACTGAGAATCTTCATAGACAAAGGTTCAGTGTGTTTTAGTGGCATCTAGTGGTGAAGGTTGCAAATTGCAACCTAATTGCTCACCCTTCCTTTTCCAAGCGCATAGGAGAACCTACAGTGGCCGCCACGCTCTGTTGGCTCTAAATGCTACGTGCTAAAACGTGCTAAATGCTAAATACGTGCTAATGCCAAATAATATGTGTGGTCCTCTATTTGTCCAAATTTCACTTCTTTTCTTACTTCTAATAAACCAGAAAACTACTACTACTAGTACTACTTCTTTTTCCTTCTTCCTCTTGTAGAAACATGGCGGCGCAACATAGTGACTTCCATGTTACAGGACCCCCTGGTGTATTGAAATGGCTCATACTAAGGAAATAAAAAAACATAAAGGGTAATTGTGAAAGGTCTTTACACACCACTGAAAACATAGTTATGGATCTTGCATTTCTGTCAATAGATCCTCCTAAATATTACAGACCTTTAAGGAGACACTGTGCAAGCACTGCAGCTAAACTTGTTTTTGATTTGGTGAATTTTTGAAATGTGAGAACGGAAGAATTATTTTCAACCATTTACACAGCACGGCCGACTCAGCCTTTCTGTGTGGGTTTCCTCCGGGTGCTCCGGTTTCCTCCACCATCAAAAACATGTTAGGTAGGTTCTCCAGTCAGTGCCGTTAGACCTGGCACTGTATTTTAATCTGGAGTTGGTCCCCGGGCTGTACAGTGGCTGCCCACTGCTCCCTTCAGGAATAGTTTAAATGCAGAGGATGAATTTCACTACGTGTATGTGACAAAGTACCTTTACTGTTACCTTTTAGTAGCACTACCATTCAACATGCATTCATGGCACATTAACCTCTCTCAAAATTAATATTGTGCAGTCTGACACAGATTGAGACCCAAAATTAGATTCATATAGCACAGTGTGGCATGCAAAGAACCTGCAAGCTCGCTGTTACTCACACTTAGTTGTGAATGGATTGCTATTACTTGTTGCTGCTACCTTATTTTTAATTTATAATACACATGCTTTATTAAAGTTATGCACTTTAACAACAGAATTCTGTTTATTTTCAAATTGTAAATAATATACTTTACTGACCTGTGCTCTGTTTTTCAGATACCAATGTCAAAGAGCATTTGAAGCTGTCAAATGTAATGGGAATCATTATTCATGTTTTAGGTCCTGTTCTTTGAGATGACCCTACATTTGAATCTGAGGCAGTCCATTTTATTCATGAAGCTCATTGTCTTTTCCCCTCCGCATACGTTTGCTGGCCAACATTGGTTAGCTCAGTTCATCTAGGTTTGAACTTGCAATGTGAAAAATGTTTTTCCAATTGGCATTTCAGCCCTGAATGCTTCTGCTGTATCCATAAGCCTGCTGGCCTCTCCACCTCCCATTAAGCATAATGCAGGGTGGAAATGTCTCCCTTAACTCGCAGAGCACCTCTCAAATCCCTCAGAGACCAATAGCTGGAATGACAAATCGGAGGGCACGTCGGCATGGCATTTAAGGCTGCTAACGAGATAAAGCGCCCGAGCTTGGCACCTCTCACCCGCTCGCTACTCCTCCGCCCTGCTTACTGTCATCTGTACGGCTAAAGAGCTTTAGCGGAGAGGCCCCTGAAGTGCGGTCCACGAGCCAGCTTGGCTTTATCCCTCCCTTAACCCTTCTTCCCAATCTTCCTCCTCTCCTCCTCGCTGCCTCAATTCCTCCTACCATCGGCACATAATTAAAAGTGCTGGGCTGGGTGCCCAAGTGGCTGAAGGCTATGAGTCACTCCCCAGGCCTGCAAGAATGAGGGATAAATCACCTGGGGGAGGAGGGCTGGAACTTCTCTCTCCCCTCACACCTGGGTTCATTCGGGGGGACCCTATTACTAGGCCCTCCAATTACCCTGTCCCGCCAGCCTGAATTTATTTGTACCGCTCCCCCACTACCATAAAATTATAACTTTGCGTAATAATTTTTTGCTCGATGCAGTCCAACCCAAGGTTAATAGCTGCCTAGCTGACTTTGAGGAGGCTGAAGGATGCTGCCGCTCCGATGCTCTTCTTCTCCTCCTCCTCTTCCTCCTTTCATCCTCTTGTTTAGCCTGTAAAAGTAGTACAGGGAAGGGGGGTGGAAGTGCCTAGCAGGAGTTATTGTCCAGTGCAACCCCATTAACGGTCCCCCAAGGTGCTGTAAGTGTCTCTCTTATGGGAGAAACCGCCATTAATTGTCTGATCAAACCTTGAGACCCTCACTGTTTTACTGCATTGTAGGCCCTGAACTGCATTCAATCGAGGGCCCTCATAGAATAGATTTCCATCTAATGAAAAGAGCTCAGTAAGGAGGAATTTCTATTAACTTCTTATGGATAAAAGTTTAGCTTGTTTGTTGAACTTGAAGCCGAGACAGCTGTTGATTGTGTTCTCAAGTGTAGCTGAGGCCTCAGCATTTCACCAAGAAGGAAGGAAGGAAACTTGTAAGTATTTCTGGTGCCTTATGCTGTAAAGTAGTCTACGCATCTTTTTCATTACCATTGATCATGAAGATTAAAATTGGACAGGAAAAAATAGTAAACTGGAACCAGGAAAAATAAGGCTAAAAGCAGCAGTTACTATGCTAAGGTGTAACCTAGTAATACAGTGTTTGTGCTGACTGAGTTTATTCTTGAGCCTGAAAAATCTTCAAAATCTACACAGCATTGACTTGTTGCCTCTATCCAGAGCTTTCAACCACATCTTGCAGTTCCTGCAAACCAATAAGTGGACCTTGAGTTAAGAAGTTTTGTCAAGATGCTAGTGTTGCTTTGAGTTTCAATACTGATAGGAAAACAATACTTTATGCAATGCTTATTTTGAGCAATAGTAAGATTTCAGCCGCGATGAAGCAGCTTGATTCAAAAGGAATGCAATGAAACCGGAAGTCACTTCACCCACCTTTTGTTTGCCAAGAATGTTTTAGCACGTACCTTTCCCCCCCCAAAAATACAAATTGTCGGTTTTACATTTCTGTTTTTGTGTACAGATTAAAGAGTTGAAGTATGTGTTAATTAGTGAGCTTTAATGGTGTTAGGCTAATTGGCTCTCGGCTCCAGCTCCGAACTCAACACACAGACAGGCGAGTAGTATCTATCTTCTTAGCTCACTCATGGAAAGAAAGCAAGGTAGGAGTATTTCCCAAAAAGGTTTAACTGTTCCTTTGAAACATGCAAAAACAGGTATTTTGCAGCGTGCCTTGAATTTCAGCTCTTTGGGCTGTTCTTTCATTCATCTCTTCAATGACTGGCCAAACAAAATAATGAATATAATTGATTAATCATGACATGTTTTCATATGAGTCCCTTGGAATTAAAGAGCATTTTTACATTTACCCGTAAAACACCAAGAAATGCTTCATAAGGGACACCATGTTCTCCACTGAGAGGAACTTCAATGCCCCTTTTGCATTATATTTGTGCAAGGTGCATCTCATGATTTCTACACTATCGGTGTTAGTTTTTCCATCTACAGGACACCATTTGGTTTTTTAGTAGACATTTGTTTTTTTTGCCATTGAATGGTCCATTAAGACTGCAGACAAGGTTACATTCTATTAATAATGTGGGAAGGACATCTATTCTGTATTGTTGCTGGCACACTCATGTGCCATATTGTACTTAACTAATAAGTTACACACTATGCAGATCAAAATTAGACATGTGAAATTAGAGTATGCTCAGCTCTAGCTGAATTATCGTGCTGCTGCCAAAGGTTTGCTTATAAGAAATGTTTTTTTAAAAAGTACACAATTAAAGCCCTTTCACAGAAAATCTCTCTTGGATAATGCACCTCATCCCCAGCCCTTATTAGCAGGGCCATTTGTCAAAAACAAAAAAGATGGAATGGAGTTTTTTTTTTAAAATTTTTATTTCCTTTGTTGTTGTATGTTTTCCTCTGACTCCCCCAGCTTGTCAAATGCAGAACTCCCATGAATCCAGTGTGACTTCTAAAAGTGTCTTAATCGTCGCTTTAAAGGCCAAATCAAGATGAAAAGTCTTCAGCCGTATGAAGTTGACAGGGGAAAAAAGAACCAAAGAGATGCCTGCCTTGAAATTACGTTTACTGTCATATTAAAAAAAAAGAGAGGAATCAGGAATCTTTTTGGGGGGAATCAGAGAAGTGAGTGGAGCTTTGAACTGCGGCTGGTGTGTGTGGAGGGAGGTGCATGCAGTTTCATCCTCAACACATTTCTCCTCTCTGTTTCTGCTTTTCTTTCAGATCCACATCATTGACTTTGATGATGAGAATAACATCATTAATAAGAATGTCCTTCTGCACCAAGCTGGAGAGATATGGCACATTGGCACCAGTCCGGCAGATAAGGCTGTGCTTACCACCTGCTATAACAAAAGTGAGTCCTACTGTTTCCTTCTGTCTCTGGCTCCATTCATTTTTTTCTTTGTTTTTTGTTTTTCTGTCTGTGTCCATTTTTATATAAATACTGTTTGTCTCGTCCATCTAATGACCTCATGCAGTTGTTGAGAATTATAACACATATAATAAGTCTTTAACAGGTGATCAATAACCCGCCAGTCTGTCTTCGCCGGTAGCAACTGTGTTAGAAGTCATGTTCAGACTTTGATAGGATCAATACTAATGTGTGGACATGATGACCCACATGAGGGATAATAGCAGCGGCTGAAAAGTCGCTGTCAGGCAGGAGAAAATCTTTGAAGGTCACTTTTACATCATCTATGCTTTTATGGAAGGTTTTCTTCAAATTGTACAACCTCATAAATGGTTTTTGGTTTGCTGCACTGACAAAAAAAAAAAACGATCGGGTGCAATAGGACAGACAAAGACATGACGTTGACTTTGACATTTTATATTTCAGCTGTTACAAGAAGAAGAACCAGCGTCAAGCATCCCTGATAAACTATCATGTTTTAACACCCCCCATAACCCTCTCAGTTGACACAGCCATACTACAGCCATAGTTTTGACAAAAAATACTACTGTACCTTTAAGGGTGATAAGGAGTCTTCCTTATCATTAACACAGATTTTTGCATACGTTGGATGTATGATTAAAACTAGCATATAAATTAAATTTGTAAAAATTTAAGCCTGTCAGTGGCAAAAACTAGCACTGTAATAAAATTTTGTCCCAATTAGTCACAAACACAAATACATGGGGGGAAAAAAGGGTCCAGGTGGAAAAATACTGAACTTAGCCTTTAATGCTTTGGGGCTAAGGAATGCACTATGTTAATAATGGTTCTCACAAGTATAGAAGGTGTGCAAGTGTGGCTAGCGTGTTGCGTCACAGGAGCAGATAGCCATGTCAGATGAGGTATGGGGAGGTTGAGGCAGAGTGTACTGTAGGCCTTTAGGGGCAGACATAACCCTCCACTGCCCTCTCCCCTCGCTCCCTCTCTTTTTTTCCCTGTCTCTCGCTCTCTGTCAGCTGAGTTCTACATGCTCGAGTTCACAGGATGACAGCCACTCTGGACCAGGCTGAAGCTCAGACAGCCCTCTATGCACTGCTGCACACCCCACACACACATAAATATATACATACAAACACACAAGAGTGTTCATATGGCGTTTCCATACCACCTCCCACCAGCACTCTAATATGTGAGCAAGAAAAGGCTTTTGTTCAAGATGATTGCTGGCCCACTTACTCCAAGTGCAAGGTTGTCTAAAACCACTCAAGAGCCTGTGGACTCGCACCACGTTGCTTTTTAATTTGACAAATAGGCCTAACGCCAGTGCTTCATAGCCCAACGCCTGCCCACACACTGTCAATATCTACACCAAAAAGAAATTAGGCTCTTTTGCTCTCTCTGTTTTCTCTCTCTCTCTCCTCCTGCTTTCTCTCTCTCTCTCGCTCTGTGAAGGGCTATGCCCTCCAGCTTCAAACTTTTAGTCCAATTACTGTATCAATTTTACATTTTACTCCACTGGTTCCAATTAACAACTCTGGCTCTGGTGTGGATGTGCCAAACGAACTCATTTGTGATGTGGATTTGGAGGAAAGTGTATCCACGTCACCGCATCAGTGCCTGTCCACCACACACACACACACACACTCTGACTGTACTCTTAACAATCTGTGAATGACTGTGTGTGTTTGTGTGTTGTGCCCCTCCAGCCAGTGACAGCAGAGTGGTGTCGTGTGCGGCAGTATGGCGGATGCCTTCTGATTGGGAGACAGGAAGTCATGAGTCACCTGACGATTCCACCCACAACCCCCAAACGCTGGAGCTGCTCTGTCACCTAGATGACAGCGCCCACAGCAATGCTGCCTGGTAGGTGTTGCTTGTACTCAGAGTACAAATGCTGCAAGTGCAATTATTCTTTTTTATGCACAATAGTTATTATCTGTTTGTCTCTGGTATGTATTTGTAGGATGGGATATGGTTAATTTTTTGTGGATGCAGGATGCTTAATAACTCATGGGGTTCACAAACAGGACTTCACACCATTCTCGTGTTTCATTGATTAATCTACTGTAAATTATGCGCACGTTCGGGTAAGCTTACTAGAACATACACAACAGGTTCTGGCGGGTGGGCCAAAAAGTGAGAAACATTGTTTGCAATAGTCAGCCTTGCTGTGCATGCCAGCTTTGTTTAGCATGTTGATGTTCAAATTTCAGATCAATGTTTGATGCTGCTCAAACTACAAAAATGTACTAGCGACCAGGCTACATTGCTACTTTAAGTCTGTGCCACGGCTGCATAGCTGCAGTGTGTTTGTTCGACAGAGGGCGGGGTCGAGCTGAGCAGGGTAGTGCGGAGGTGTGGCCGTGTTCATTTGTTTCCTAGAACAAAACCGCCATGAAACAATCAGACAAATAACAACCTATTGCTCTTATTAAGTGCTTTGCTCTCACCAACTCCCCATTTCACCTCAAACTTGTTCGACCACCACTGCCAACAGCGTGTCCACAAACTGCAATCTACTAATACTACTCATTTAAGTGGAAATGGAAGATTTCAATGTAAAAAAAAAGAGAGATTCAGAACAGACCTACCATAAATAATCATATTATTGAACATTGGATGAGTTGACCTCCCTTGGTATAACCATAATGACGTCAGGGAGTTTCAAGTTGTTAGTAAATGCACTAAAAGAAAAAGGTTGAGCTTAGAATTTCCAAATTCCAATAAAGAATTTGGCTTAAAATATTTGTGTGTCATCCAGCGCTCTGCTATGTGGTAGTGAAGTATGGGCTCCACTCATGCATTTTACATGTACAAAAGAACACCAACAAATGCATATAGAGCAGAATTAGGCAGATATCCACTGATAATTAACATTCAGAAATCACTCAAATGTTTGAATGACCTTAAATCCAGCTCCCTAGAAGCCCTCCATTCCAAAGCCCTCCAAGCCCAGCTGACCCTGCAAAGACTCCCCCATGTCAGTTGGTGCTGAGACTACCTGCCCCCTCTCAGACACTCTGACTCAGTCTCACAACAACACTGCTTTGCAGTCCCCAATCAGAGTAAACCAAATTATAACGCAATGTAAAGAAACCTATTTGACTGAAAGGGTTTCACGTTTAGATAAAAAGGAATTGCGTGCTGATGGCACACCACCCTTTGAACTTTCACAACATATTGTTTCCTAACTAAAAGCCCATGTAGATTAGAATGTTATCTGACCTTAAAAATAAATGATGAATTGGCAGAATATCTCTCTACTGTCAGAGATGGAAAGCAGGGACAGATCTTGACCAAGTACATGCTCAGTGACCGCAAACTGTCCGTCGAAAAAGGAACACAAAAAATCATGGCAACCAAAAGAAAACAGATTATGTGGTCACTGTTCGACCAGTGAGACTGAGACAAAGATGCACTTCCTCCTACAATGTAAAATAAGGAAATGAAGAGCATTTACAAGTTCAACGGTGTAATCTCACATTTCAAATAGCTAAATGAGCTCTCCTAGGAGAAGGAGACATGGCCTGTCTTGCTGCCCTATATGGGTCAACATGCCACAACCTGAGGGACAGTGATGGTTAACCTAGTCTCTCTCTCTCTCTCTCTCTCTCTCACTCACACACACACACACACACACACACACACACACACACACACACACACACACACACACACACACACACTTAAATTCATTAAAAAAGGTTGTAGTGTTTATATAGTTCTAACTTATTTGTATCGGTATTTTTTAACTGCAAGTCTACATTTTTTTTAAATGTTCTATTTTCCTTCCATACAGCGATCAGCCATAACATTATGACCACTGACAGGTGTAGTGAATAGCACTGATTATCTTGTTACCATGGCACCTCTCAGTGGGTGGGATATATTGACACACAGCAGGTGAACATTGTGTCCTCATAGTTGATATGTTAGAAGCAGGAAAAATGGGCAAGCGTAAGGATTTGAGAGACATTGACAAGGGTCAGATTGTGATGGCTAGATACCACTGATGGTCAGAGCATCCCCAAAATGGTCTGCAGAGGTGGGTACCTATTAAAAGTGATCCAAGGAAAGAAAAGGGGTGAACCGGCAACAGGGTCATGGGCGGCCAAGGCTCACTGATGCACGTGAGGAGGGAAAGTTGGCCCGCATTGTCCAATCCAACAGACTACTGAGCTACGGTAGGTCAAGCTGCTGAAAAATATACTGGTAGATACTGGTTCTGATTGGAAGGTGTCAGAACACAGTGGAGTCCATGCTTCTACGGGTCAGGGCTGTTTTGGTGGCAAAAGGAGATCTACATATAATGACCAGCAAGTGGTCACAGGTGGGCCAGCGGGTGGTCACAATGTTTTGACTTATCAATGTATATTTTTAATAGCAAAATCCCAACTCTAATTTTTATGTCTTTATTACACACTTGCTTTGGCAATGTAAATGTCTGTCCAGGTCGGATATTGCAAAAACGGAACCACTTGGATCAAATTCCTCACTTCTACTACTGTTTATTACTGTAAATACCCAAGTTTAGGTAAAAATCGATTAAACATCATCTTAAACTATAAAATCAAATTAATTAATAAAATTAATTTATCGCCCAGCTCTAGTCTGAGGTAGATAAATCAAGTAGCTATCCAGTCCATTAAGCTTAACTGCCAGTTATGTTCTGCATTGTATTTCAGTGGAGTAAGGACTTGAGTAAAGTAAATGGATTTCAAAAATGGAAATAAGCTGTCTGTCCCACAAACTCGCGTTAAGACCTGTGGTGATTGAGCTTTTCAGGTTGTTGCACCTAAACTCTGGGATGCTCTGTCTGCACCCTTATGTTTTCGAAAGGCAGCTAAAGACTCACCTGTTCAGACAGGCCCTTGGTTAACCTGTATGGTCTGCAGTTTATGTATTTTTTGTATTTTTTACTGCTTATTGTGTAATTGTTATACATTTTTATTACATACTGTGCTTTTAGCTCACTTCTTCATGAGGCTTGGGTGGTCATATCATTCTGTGAATGTTAATGTAGTAAAGCACTTTGTTTACTTACTTACTTTAGGATGGCCTTTCTTGGTGGCAAGTATAAATAGGAGGACTAATTACAAGGACCAAATATTGTTTCAGTATACTGTATGTATGGGCATGTGAGTACTACTTTTAGACAGACTTTAAAAAATTTGAACCTATCCTTTAAACCCACTACATAGTTGGAAGTTGAGTGCGATGCTCCGATTCATACATCACAAAGAGTCAATAGTGTATCTGGCAAAATAACGTTGTTTAACACAGAATGTCATGCCTTATTTCATTCAGCAGTTGGCAGGGACTTGGCAGAATGATTTGCCCACCTCAAACAAAGAAAAAAACAACCTACAGGCAGTTTTAGGAAGGCTCTGTCTTCATGAGATCAGAAGTCCTAAAACTAAATGGGAGCCATTTAGAAATTACAGTGAACATTGAAAACACACTAGGGGACAGATGGACATGTTGGCCTGCTGAAATTGAAATAGCCCACACTCTCCACACCATTAGATTCCTACCAGCTGGAATAAAGCTCACCCCACTGCCTGTGTCTCTCTTCCATGTGAGTGTTTTTTTTTTTTTTTTTTGGCTCAGAATATTGACTGGCCCACATCTCAGACTGCTTCGGCCTTTTGTCTTACAGTCGGAGCTCCTGTGTACAACGCCTGGCCATGACTCACTGCCTGTGAGAATTGAAATCAATGGTCATTCCCCTTTTTAGTCCACTGTTCATCGGCCGCCTCATGATTGCTATCATTTTTAGAGGCGCCAATCAGTTAGGGTGATGCATACTGTAGCAGGTGTCTGCAAAGGAGAGATAAAGAGGGAGTGAGGAAGATGAGTAGAGGAGAAGAGTGCATTTGTGCAATATGTGTGTTTTGTGCATGTGTGTATGTGTGTATATGTGTATATATATGTGTGTGTGTGTGTGTGTGTGTCATAGGGCAGGTCAAGCAAGGTTGCTGGGTAAAGATTGATGGCTCTGGGCTCCACCATATTAACACCCTGAGAGCTGTAACCCTCACAAGGGCACCACACTCTGTGTGTGTGTGTGTGTGTGTGTGTGTGTGTGTGTGGCAGGAGTGTGCATTCGGTGCTGTGAAGCCTGTAGCCTATGCTGTGCACTATTGACTCCCCTAGATGGATGGCTTTGGTCCACTGCCCACCTCCTCCATCTCTCTATGATGTGCACGTACACACACACACACACTTATCCCCACTCACTCTTATAATACTGGCAGCTTTCACCAGTCTGTGTATTTATGCATGTTTGTGTGTGTCAGCAGACAAAGAGTAAAGAGATTAGAGTTCGTATTCTTATGAGGCTTTTGTCTGTTTAATGTGTGTGTGTTTGTTCACCTGCCCATGTGTGTTTGCGCCCACTGTAGCATGCCTGCCTGTGTGTGTAGCCTGCATTCTTCACGTGTGTGTGTGTGTGTGTGTTTTTTTTCCGGTAGCTGGTGTCCCTGCACTCCCACCAACAATAACACTTTCTCCTTCCTCCAAATCCCCTCATTGTTTGGGTGGGCAAACATTTGAGCCTCTGCCCTGTTGCGAAGCGTGCTCTGAATGGAAATATCGGCAAAGTACACCCAAAAAATAGGGCTAAACAAAGCTAGGGAAAATTCATGTTTTTTGGTGATTACGTTTTTTTTTTTTTTCTCCTTCGTCTCCTCACACTTGGTTTCGATTGGGTTGAGCGAATCGATTCCCGTGGAGCCATTTGAGCGAATGAGGGCCCTAGGAGGGAATGGTAAAGCGCAAAAAGGCAACAAGTTTGATTTTCTAAAGCGGGGTGTGACGGGAGGGGGTAGGTGGTGTCTGTGGGTGTGATTGTGTGTATTTGT